GAAAAAAACTTTGCATTAAACTTGTTGAAGAGATTCGTTCCAAACGCTAATTACAGTATCTGCAGTAATACGTTCTGCCGAAGTTAATTTTGCATTGTAATACCGTTTACACTCGACCAAACAAGTTCAATTGGATTGAACTGGCAATAATATGGAGGCAGTCTCAATACAAGATGGCCATGCAAAAGAACTAATCTATATAATCTGTAAAACATGCATTTTTAATATCCTAATAAAAATTATATCATATTATAACATACCTGTATGCTTTATCTGGTACATGTTTCTTGGCAATTTCTAACAATTCGAACTACATACTAGGCATTGGAAACTGTATATTCCTTTCTTTTAACCAATTAATCAGAGAAACTTTGTTCCAACTTGCATTTGGTATTCTTTCGAGCAACGTTGAATGGTACGACGCATTGTCCAATATTATTAATGACGGTTCTTCTAAGCTTGGTAGAAGCTGATATTCAAACCATCTTTCAAAATTATCAGCAGTCATTGAATCATGACAATCGCCAGATTTACTACCACTTTTAAATATCAAGCTACAGTCATTAATAAACCCATTTTCAGAACCCGCATGAAGAACAATGTATCGTACACCTTCAGCACTCTTTTTTCTGACTGCCTTATCGGTACCATCCTGCCAGCTTTTGCGAAATTCTCCTTTGCTTAATATCCAAGTTTCATCAAGATATACAGGCTTGAGATGATGAGAATCACTTTCATTTTTTTTTAAATCTCGTAAAAAACAATCTTTTTCGTGTAACATGTGACTGTTCCATGAGATATTTTCTGTTAGAAATGTTACAGCTTATCCACTTGAATTTTAATTCTTTTAAAGTCCTACTAAGTAAAGAAACTGATGTATTTATCCCATATACATCTTCTAATTTTTTCTTCAACGTATAGTCGCTCACCTACAATAAGAAAAAATGTTACAAAAACAAATTTGTGTGTGAAATGGAAACATAATAACATTGATGAAGATATTTAGAACCTTATACAATCTAACTTGAAAAATATGTATTTAGTAAATACCAACCTTGACTAAACATTCTGTATATGTATACAAGTTCTGATACCATGTTCATATTTCTCCCAAATATTGGGACCACAGCTAACGCTCACAGAATCGGACATTTTAGCTGAGTATTCGCGATCTGCTTGAATACCTTCATTTGCCAATCGTCCTACAGTCGATAGCGATATTTCTAAGCCGGCCGAAACACGCTAACATTAATTGATCATCAATGAATTTTTAATTATCTTTAAGATGTGAAACTTACTTCATGTACAGCATTTACGGGCAATAGAGTTTTACCACGGCGTGGGTGGTTCAGTGGTAGAGTCTCTGTCTGTGGATCGAAGGGTCCCGGGTTCGAATCCCACCGTTGGTCGGGATTTTTTAATTTAATTTAATTATTTAAAATTAATTCTGATGCCTTGGTAGGATTCCCCACTCGCCCATTCACTGTTGGGTTCTAATTGACAGTGCTATTCCTAAAGTGGAGCTGGGAAACAGTAACAAAGCCTACACAGAACACGAGGCGAAATAACCCTGGTAGTTGAAGCCGATGACACGCACACAAAAAAAAATAGAGTTTTACTGGCTTGTTTTTCTAATTGGAAATAAGCAAGCAGTTTTAATACAAACGCTATACCTCGGCATGTTTATAATTATCAAAATAAATAAATAAAAAATAATATTCCAACTTCTAAAAAATGTGATTAACCACAATAATTACAAATGGAACTAATGGAAGTACTGGTCTGATAAAAACTGTCAGACGTACACTTTGATGTTTATCAAAAATAGCTAAAGAGCGTGTTCAAGATTTCAATTTGACTATGAGGCCATGACGTATAGCAAACGGCAGCCAATGAAATGCCTGTATTGTGTCAATTGTAGTTATTTAATGTCTACGTGTAGATCTCTCATGATTTTGTTGCGTCACGAAAATTTATAGTGGACGTACCGTTTTTTGCATTTCTTTCAACTTAATGCGATAAAGCGAGATAGATGTCGTATGACGTGCAACTGAAAGGCTATGAGATGAACTATTATTACCCATATTATTACCTATTGTATTACTTTCTGAAATATACATTTCCTTCAATGTACAAGTTATTTAATATCATCTTAACCTACCAGTAGAAACGTATATATGGCTTTGTATAATTCCCTACTCTTGGTGGTTGTAATTCTCAATATTTATTCCTATATCTTGAGCCCCATACTGTATTTTTTGCATTATAGTCTCCTCCTTATATAAATTTATTTAAAAAAAACTCTTCAAATTGTTTTTTGTTATTGTATATTGGTGGGTAATATACAGGTGATACCTATGGTTATTGGGGAGGAGCAGTTGTCTTTTATGCAAATAGTGGTTGCTTGTAGAAGGTTTTTTGTGTAATTTGATGTTTAATGGTATTACTATGAAGACTAGAGAAAAGTCTTCATAGTTATTACGAATTATTATGGCTGTATCTCCATGAGTTTTGTTGTCAGTGTGTTTGTTACTGTATATGTTGTATTTAGGTATTTTTATTTGATGCTTTTACCTTCTGAAATTAACATAGTCAATATTGTGACTAGTTATAAAGGTATTTAGCTCGTTTATGTGTTGATAAAAATGACATAATAGTAATATGGCCTATTTAAAGAAATTGTAGTTATGTTGATGTGATTTAATGTAAGCTTCAAGAATACATTGTACTTCTCTACTATTTATAAAGACAAATAACAAAAACCATATGCTAAATATACGAATCACAAATAATCCATGAATAGTTAGTCAAAAGATGTTCAAGATGATGAATTATTTATAATTCGTATATTATTTGTATTTTTGTTTCTTAATCCTAGATGAATAGTATTGTTATTTTCTTCTTCTCACTATTTTTATCTTGGACAACATTTTGGCGGTGGTGAAGGTCCACAGGGCTTCCTCTTCTCCTGGATCTTTTCTACAGCTTGTCTAATAAACTTGCATTTACACGACACATCCGGCGTAGCCGACGTCTTTATATCGCCCAAGAAGTCATCATCTTCGTCCTCTTCTTCTTCCTCTTCTTCTACCGCAGCTTCTTCGGCACCTTCGCCGCCTTCTCCGCCCTCGCCGTCCAACGATTTGAAGCATACACAAGGACACGTCTTTTTTCCTTTGAACCTCTTGAGACAAACGATCTTGCATGATTTCAGTCTGATTTTACAGGTACACATCTCGCAGCTGCACGTCGTATCGCAATCGCACGTTTGAGCTAGTTGTTCAGGCGTTAAATTTAAGATATACTTCATGGGCGGCGATTTGCCGGCCTTACCGCATTTGTTCTCTCCTTCTAATTGAATGCAACAGTCGTCCGTTTCGCTTGGATCCGTACACTCCCACAACGTCTCTGGTTTGCAAGTACATACTTTACAGTCGCATTCGTCGCCGCACATGCAGATGGAAGCTAATTGCTCTGGTGATAATTTTATTTGGAACTTTACCGCGTTACTTTTGCCTGATTTCTTCTTCTTTTTCTTCTTTTTCTCTTCTGACGGCGGCGCCTTTTCTGGCTCCTTTTGTACTTCTTCTTCCGGCATAAAATCGAGATCGTCTTTTACCTCATCGCATCTGCATGTTTTCGCTATATCTACTTGTCTGGGTGGAGTGGGCTTGCAATAGCAGCTGGTTTCCTTAGGGGTTGGTGGTTGTTTGCCGCCTTTACAGCAAGTTGCGATGTTAGCGGCGAGTGACTGACATGTGCAAGGGGGCTTTTTCATTCTTATACCGTCCCCTGGACTTTGCTTACCACAACCGCACGGCATTTTGGTGGAATTTAATTTGTTTGCTGGATTTTAATGGTTACAGTGTATTCTAAGTCGCCCCTTCTTGGGTTATATTAAATTAAATGATGGAATAGATGTTTAAAGGGGGTACTTACATCGTTTTTATTTCGTTAGTATGACATGGAGGTGAATGTTACGGAAATTCGATGAATGTTGTGATATATAAAATGAAAATTATTAATGAAATGACAAAATTTGACAAATGTTTTATTGTTTTGAAAATTAGATCAGACTTATACTATGTATACTAGATTTAGATACTTTGTATTTCCTCTACTGCCTTTTGCCTACCCTTCTTTGTATAATAGTGCAATCTAGGGGTTGTTGTGTTGTAGAGTACATGGAACAAGTGATTTTTTCTGAATAGTGATTAGAAGGTAAAAATCGGGATAAAAACAGTAAAATCTCGAGACCTTTTAGCAATTTCAAAATTTCGAAAGTGTTTTAGGTAGGTAACGTTCTAGAATATAATATAAAAATAAACTCCTACTACTACTACTACTAACTATATACCTGTCTCAAGCTACTACACTGGTTTATTTAATTGAATTAATACCTAACTGGTTTATTAGCCTTCCCAGTAGATTTTCTTAGTATTGACATTGTTGCCGGTTGGCCACAGTGCAATCCTCAATCATTTAAAAATTGTTCTAGTATAGTTAGGTATTTATATATCATTTTTTTTTTTCAAAAGTTTACTCCGGAGCTTCACAGGGATCCTATCTCGGGCAACTCTTGTTTAATATCAATATGAATGATATATCAAAATGCTTTAAGTTTACCAATTGTCTCAGTAAGGTACGCTGACAATCTAAAAATTTACCATATGTAAAATAACCTTTACGACTTAAATTTTTTTCAATAGGTATATTTTAAAAACGACTAGGAATGGGAGAAAAATGAATGATAGTAATCTTATTGGAAATTTTGTTAGCTTTGATTTGTCTAAGAATAATTTTTTTCCACCGAGCAATCATTTTCGAGATATAAAGGAAAAACTCAAATAGAGACCTTTCCTCCTTTAGCTTTATAGGTGAATACGGGAAATTTTAGTATTTTTCTATCTAACTAGTCCAAACACAACCCAGAAGAAAAAATAATCATCTCTACGCAAAATTCATTGATTATGTTAGATTAATACGTCTTCCTTTTGCAGATAGTCGAACTCCTGGTCATCTAGGTCAACTTTCACAATCTATAGAGACTGAACCTAACGTAAGAGAAACACGTGAGTATTGTTTCATATTATTAATACAGAGATAGCCAACATTATGATATCAAAACAATGTTTTTCTGCTTTATAATCTCTCAGATGGAAAGTTTATTGGAAAACAAAAAATCACATAATACATGACAGCGATAATTGTTTGTCTTGAAAATTACAATCCTAATTAATTGTAAACCTACCTTTGGTACCTGAATTATTATTTTTTTACCTTTTAAACTATAATCATTATCTTTTCTTTAATATGAATGTTGAAATTACATTCAACATGTCCTATATGCAGGGCAGATTAACCTAAATCCGCACTTAACAAATAAAAAGAATAAAATACTAAATAGACACTCCCTGTATAAACCAATAATATCCGAAGCTGTTCAATATCAACCCCTCTTAACTTTCAAATAACCTTCAACGACACCGGTAGTCTCAAGATGTAGGTGCCAGCAGTTAAAAACAATCACGCAAAATATTTCACCCAATCAGAATGCAGACGTACTCGAAACAGTGGTCTCGCGTGCAAAATCATACGAGTAAAGAGAGCCAATCAGAAAGAAGGGTAAAAACCGTTGTGGGTTGAGAATTAACGTAGGACGAAAGAAAGTGAGCTTTCTTTTTCATTTTCTTCAAACGAACAAGCAACATGTAAAAAATCAAATTTAAAAAAGCCGGTAATCGCGGTAATCATTACAAGTGTTTGCGATTTTATTTTTCTTAAAAGTTAAACTATCAATAATCCTATGTAAAAATACAAGTTTGTAAATGTATTAAAATATGTGAACGTATCAATGTAGGGTGATGGTTTTATTTTTAATACACCCAGTGCTTCATCTAGAACTTCAAGGGTCAACATGATCAGAATATCTTTCAGAGGCTACAGGATGGAGCATAAGGCCTCCACCCCAGGTAATCTAATTTGAATACAGTCCAATATGATCGAAGGCAGTATACGTCAAGCCTACAGCTTAAATAAGGTTAGGGTTTAACAGTTACCATATTAAAGCAGTTAAATACTCTTCTTGTTATTTAATCATAGTGTCACGTCGTGGGTGTCAGGGTATTCTTTTTTGGGGTTTGGGTAGCTCAGATTTTATCTGACTACGCCACGACGAGCTCTAGCTCGCCACGCTATATTCTGGGTAGCTCGGACTTCTCCAAGGATTGGACAAAGTCCGTTCGACCCAAAGTACAACCTGGTGAGGAGTATTTATTAATTTAATTTAACCACTGTTCTGCTTGTTGGAAAGAAGAAATCAAAATCACTGATAAAAACTAACACTTTTATTAATTAAAAAATTAATGTTCAAAAGAGTATTCAACTGTACAATATTTACATCTAGCATCTGGAATTTACAGAACTATTCTTATATTTAACAAACTACCCCACAAAGAAATATAATTATATAAAAATACTTTTCTTACCGCATTATCCTTTAGGGGCACGTCCACAAATTCTTTTTTAAAACCTCAACTATTTATTTTAATTATTATTTTTTTTTTTTTTATGGAGCTTTTTAGCTGTCGCTTGTGGCTCAGGACTTTCCTGAATGAATCCCGTTTGTTAGAACATTTACCTTCTAAACTCATTTGCTGATTTTGCATATTCATCAAGTTAATACAACTAATGATGTTTGATTTGTAGTTTCCACGGTTTTGTGAAATCAGCAAAATTAGCAAATTTTATTATTGTTAAACATGAAAGGAAATATCTTATAAAAATTGAGAATTGTTTAATATTTTGTTACGAAATTATTATATTACTGGAACTTGAAATAAAGGTAACTGTCCTATTATGAATGAATTAAATGAATTAAATATGAATATATAAAATTTGGAAAAATGTATTAATTGGAATTTGTGACACGCCCCCCGCTTGATAAAGCCAGTCCCTGGCTTTTAATAAATTATAAAATATATTCCTAATACCTATTCACATGTTGAATAAAAATTTACGATAATATTAAATTTATATAAATAGAAGTAAATATACTTGAAGTTTATCAAGTGTAGCGGTTTAATATAGAAAAACCACTATGAAAGAGAAAACATTTTTTACATATAAATAAAAAACCAAATATAAAATAAAACAATGTAAATCCTTAAAACATAAACCATGTTACAATTTTTTAAACAAAGTTCTCGCACACACGCACTTTTCTAGTTTGTTTTTGTCACTTTAATTTGTTAATTGGGCTACCGTACACCTTTGCTAAGTCCAACTCTGTTTGGCCAAAATTTGACCGGTACGCTGGGTTGCATAAGTACTAGGCTGTGGTTACGGCCTAGAGAAGATTGTCCACTGTCTTTTCAGCGGCGCAGCGAACGTGGTATCGGCCTCACTACACATGCGGATGCATATGTCCTCTTTTTTCCATCCAGGGACTCGTACTTGTATATAGTTTAGCTATACTAGCTAAGTGGCTGTTGTCTACTCCTATCCATCTTTATGTTTCAGTCAGATACCTTGCGTTTGGTCTCTCTCTGACTATTCTTCTTTGGGATTGTTTATTTTGGTAGGATATGGTAATATAACTATTACGGATTACGGGTTAAAACTATAAACGTGTGATTTATAGAATGTCTGGATACTTTAAAACGAGTAGGCCAGAAAAAGGAACAAGAGGAAGGAAGAGTACATCGTACTTCAGACTTCAAAAGTAATTTTTTGTAAATATTTTAGGAATGAGAAATCATTCAACTAGTGGTTTTTTGGCTTTCATATTATTTGGAATTTGGAAGCATAGATTAAATCAAATGTTTTATGCTTGTGACGTGATCCATCTAAGTTTTTTGGATGGACTTCTGGGATACTGCTCTATTCCATACCAGTGTACCGACAGAGTTGCAAACTCGGCTAATTTCAGTTTGGCTTTGGTCCTTTGGCGTCTTTTTTGAAGAAACAGGATTTTGGTGTAACCTGTGGTGTGGTGTAACTGTCAAGAAACCTCGAACATCTTATTCCTTGTTGGATAGTAATTTTGTAAATTTGGTAGCTGGATTTGGTCATCAGTCCGTTGGTAGTGCTTTTTCGTGCGTGTGGTTGCGGATTGGTCCCGTATTTTTGTCATCATAAAACAAAAAAAAACAAATCGGTAAGTAAATGGTTTGGATTTTAATATACTCATTTCTAATATTTTACAATAAGAACCAATTTATGTTCATTTATAACTAACCTAAAGCCCTACTTCTATTTGAACTTAAATTTATAATAGACAATTTAACTATGAAGATGATTAATTTAATCACCATTTGTAATTTTCAATCCTTAGTCTTTTAAGAAGAAAAAAAAAATTATTTATGTCCCTGATTCTGCATTTATATTTATTTTAACAAAAGTAGGTATCTTATGATCCCTTTAAAAAAAAATAAAAAGGTTACAATTTTAAAAATTGATTACTTTGAGGAAAAGTATAATTTAAGGACCTATACTAATACTATACTGTTGAGATTCAAATAAATTTTACTTTATTGTATGTGGATATTTTTAGTGGGCTATTATCTTTAAACATTACTCACTAATCTTTTGCATACATGTATTATATATCCTATTTTATTACACCAGAAATATTTTTTATTTATGCAAACATTCTTCCAACCCTTTCTTTCTCTATAGAATAATACATTTTTTATTTATATTTATATTCATAACCTATTTCCTTTATTTTTCTTCTTAAATATAAGAATAGTTCTGTAAATTCCAGATGCTAGATGTAAATATTGTACAGTTGAATACTCTTTTGAACATTAATTTTTTAATTAATAAAAGTGTTAGTTTTTATCAGTGATTTTAATTTCTTCTTTCCAACAAGCAGAACAGTGGTTAAATTAAATTAATAAATACTCCTCACCAGGTTGTACTTTGGGTCGAACGGACTTTGTCCAATCCTTGGAGAAGTCCGAGCTACCCAGAATATAGCGTGGCGAGCTAGAGCTCGTCGTGGCGTAGTCAGATAAAATCTGAGCTACCCAAACCCCAAAAAAGAATACCCTGACACCCACGACGTGACAATAGCAGTTGAACTAAACTCCTTACATATCCTTTTCCATCAACTAATCTGTCCACTAATGCCCAAAAATATTGACCATTGAAATTTAGCCATCCTGTAAGCTACAAAATTCTGACCTAGTTATAAACTTTCCAAAGCTACCCTACACATTCCAAAAAGTCGAGTGCGTGGTCCTCCCCGGCAGTGCAATTAATGTCGTATCCGTTAATTGACAATGAATTTTTCATAATAATTCGCCATCTCGAGGACATCAGGGTAGCGCCGCGCGGTGTAAATTACCACCACTGTGTACTCTGGTTGTGTAAATCAAGTTTGCATATTTCATGACGCCCGCTCCAGTGTAGTTCTCTTTACATTATTCAAAATGCCGGGCCAATAGAGAACACACGTAAAACTATAAGACCAGCGGCGCGACTATGAATAGCCGAAGGGGACAAACGGCAGTAAAATGTTTGTTAATATAAAATATTAGAATAAATTTGAATGTAACTTAGAATTGCATGTAGTGAAATGATTATAAATTAATATCTCAAGAATTACAACTAATTAGTCAAATTATAAAAATTATTACTAATATTAATAAAAAATATGAACTGGGAGTCAATGTACGCTACTGATGGCGTAAATGCTATGGCTGATTATTTTGTCAGTAAAGTTAAAAGAATCATTTTTGATTGCACTTAATCATTTTGAAAAAAGCGAAATTTGTGGATTACTAAAATCAGTAAGCATGAAACAAAAAACATATAAAAGAATTTTGGTAATTCCTAATGATAAATGTCTTCTAATTGAATATAACATAAATAATGTAAAAATGTATACAAGAAAGTTATAAGATAAGAAAAAAAACAAAAGTATACAAAAATAATTCTAAACACCTATGACATACTTAAAAAGAAATTACTGGAAACACCTCTCTGGGAAAAACCAAATTATCGTTGAATATTACAAGTATAGCCCCTGATAACCCAATAGTAACTGATGAAAATGAGGACACATTGTTTTTAAGATCTTCTAAGGTCTTCTCAAAATCTGCCTTTCATGTCTTCAATTTCTTCTAAATCAGTTGCATTGTTTTTAAGACTTTCTACGGCTTGTTTAAGATCCGAAAGCCTGTCATTCATGTTTTTATACTGTTCTGGAACTGACACATTATTTTTAAGATCCTCTAAGGTCTTCTCAAGATCTGAAAATCTGCTTTTTATATCTTCAATTTCTTCTAAATGAGTTGCACTGTTTTTAAGACTTTCTACGGCTTGTTCAAGATCCAGAAGCCTGCCGTTCAAATTTTCATAGTGTTCTGGAACTGTCACATTATTTTTTAGATCGTCTAATACTTTTTCAAGATCTGAAAGCCTGTCTTTCATATTTTCGTATTCTTCTGGATCAGTTGCATTATTTTCAAGACTTTCTACTGCTTGTTCATGATTTAACTGCCTGTCGTCCAAATTTTCAGATCGTTCTGAAAATGACTTATTGTTTTTTTAGAACATCTACGATCTTTTCAAGATCTGAAAGCCTATCGTCCAAATTCTCTTGGTGTTCTGGTATTGATATATTATTCTTAGGCGAAAATAAAGCATTTTCAACCGCTGATAGCCTGCTTTCCAAATTTTCATATGCTTCTGGATCAGATGCGTTATACAGGGTGTTTCAGATTTAAACGGACACATCTTAATGGGAGTACACTTAGGTGAGTTCAAAACACCCCTATACTTAGCCTTTAATCTTACTCGTTTCTATATAGGGTGTTTTATGATTTTTTGCCAAAACTAAAATCGGACATTTTGTGTGAATGGCTAAAGTTATTTTGATAAAATTTGGTACAAAAGTTACACTCTCTTATGTCAATCAAAACCATAATTTAATTTTAAAAAATTCCAGGACCGGACTCTCTTTTTTTATATTGCTCTTCTTGGCTGGAATATCACCCTATCACGCAGTTTTTTTTTTGTAGCCATTTTAATCATATAATATTTTTAATTATCTTTACTATAAACAGTATCTAAGATATGAGGCTAAAATCGTTAATATTGGACCCGGTACAACAATTGTTTTGTTTTTATACCACATGATAACTAACAGCCGAACTAGATGCTCTACCAATACATTTATTTTTCGATTGTGGTAAAGACTCTATTTTTCTCCCTCCTTCTTAAATTATTTATAAACTAAGAAACACATTAAGCAATTTTCTTTCCGTACCCATGTTCTTTAAAACTTCAAAAACGAAAATAACCTCTTTGCAAATTACCTCTAGACGGTTATTCGTCGAGAAACTTTAGAAGTATTATAACGTCGTTAATAACTCGGAAAAAAAAACGATCCGTTATATCTACGCCAGAAAAAGTGCTCGGAACTTTGTCGGTGCGGTTTTCAAGAGTTCGAAAAACAAAAGTCGCCACGAACAAAGAAACGTGAAATATAATTTTAGCAGCAGCATTCCGGGTCTCTCGGTCGCAAAGTTTTCGGATGAATAGTCGGTGTAGTGGTGTTTTCGTTATGTTTATGAAATTAAAATGTATAATTTATCACGTCCAAATGCGAGATAAAGTTAGAGGAATGAAGTGTCCAATTCTAAATGCAATACTAACAAAAAAGTACTGGGTGTTATTGAAATACATTTTAAGGTGTTTTTCTTGCTTCTAAGAAAATAATCCTTGTCTCTTTGACGTATTCGGTCTGAAAATTACTGTGGCGCCAGATTTATTAATACGTTTTGCTCTACAACCCCTTGATCGACGGAATACATACAACTTCAAGTTTTTCTTTTGGACGATTTTAAAAAAATATTCCCGAAATAAGATGCAATACCTACGCCACTGCTAAAGGGCATTCTCTATTTTCTAGTAGAATAAAATATGCTGTCTCCCAGCTCACTGTTGAGATCGTGTGTTTTGGAATGTTTGATGAAACGTGACTTTAGACGTCTAGCTACGTATATAGAGCTATTTCGTAGATTGATTTTATTTTTATACGGGTTTTTATGACGCGACTCAAAGAACGTTTTGCAGCGTATTCAAGCTATAAAAAAATATTAAGGCAGCTTCTTATTATTACGTACCTAGTATACGACCGAAACATTTTGTAATAATGGAGTTATTTTCATTAATTATGGTCCGTAACGCGGACGCAGATGTTTCATTTTTCAGAATAGTGCACCGCATGAGCCGCGAATATTGCGAAAAATCCATGGAGTATAGTGCAGATCAGAATTATTTTATGTTATTTCACAATTAGATTTCAGTATTACTATTATACTTATGTATAATTTACAAATAAAGCGACATCCAGCCGTACAGCTGACGTCGAAAAACACAGTTGTCACATTGCAAAAATAATTGTAATTTACCTAATACGCTAGAATTAATTTTAACTTGGCAACTATGTACCTTTCTCAACCCAGCGAGGGTATGCTGTTACCTTATTGGCTAATTTGTATTGGTTGTTTACTAGACAACGTGGACTTAGGGACTTTTCGACCCTTATATGGTGTGCTACAGGATAGTACTTGAATATATAGGTGTTAATTTAATTATTTTATTTTTTCCAATATACAGAGTGTTTCAAAAAGGTATGTCATAAATTCTTCCTCAGATTACCAAAAAATAAGTGGATTTGGCTATATTTACATATATCAAAAACTGACTCCAACAAAGTTAGCGGATACGTTTAGTAGAGTTTGTAGTTATATTGGTAGTAATAATCATCAGAACAACCTTTTCAATCTTCACCAGTCACTGTGCTTTCCAGGAGTCACAAGGTTTGCTCACTGAATACGTTCAAAAATTTTGCCATTTTCTGTAGAGGACGTTCGTAGAACCATCTCTTCTTGTCCAACTTGTTCCGAGCTAAAACCAAAATTTTTTTAAACAATATGGAAAATTAATTAAAGCTACCTCACCTTTTAAAAGGTTAAATATTGATTTCAAAGGCCCGCTTCCAAGTATCAGCAAAAACAAATATCTCTTAACCATTGTCGATGAATATTCCAGATTCCCGTTTGCTTATCCTTGCTTGGACATGACTTCCTCTACTGTTATCAAGTGTTTGGCAAATCTCTTTTCGACTTTCGGTTTAGCTTCCTATATTCATTCCATTTCGACCAAGGGGCATCGTTCATGTCTAATGAACTGAAAGAATATTTGCATTCTCGTGGAATAGCTACCAGTCGTACAAATCCCTATAATCCTCAAGGGAACGGCCAAATCGAAAGATATAATGGAATAATATGGAAGACTGGCTCTAAAAACAAAGAAATTAGCAGTTTCGCATTGGGAGATGGTTTTAAAAGTTTATCTACACTCACAAACTTTTAGTGGTCTATTTTTGTTTTGGTTTTTGCCCAGTCTGAACACCCTTATATTTGTAATATCAACATCAATATCATTTAGCAGTTCTTTTACTGAGTCTTTATCTTCTCTTATTTTGTTTGCAACTATTTTTTGTTTTGATTTATTTACATTTAATATGCCCTCTTCTGTCTTCCCGCCACTTCCGTCATTAGTTTTTCGCTATTAATTTTAGCTACATTTGAAGTTGCATCTTTTTCGTTATTTTGATCAGATCCCTTATTTTTACTTGCTTTAACTCTTTAGTTAGTTCTGGAACTTTCCAAAAACCTGTTTCACATTCACTGCACAAAAAAATTAATTTTCGTTTATTCTTTAATTGTAAACATTTCATTTCTGACGGTGTTAAGTCAGCACATTGGGCACATAAGTACTCTTTGCATGAATCACATGGAAAAACTTGATTAGCTTCCTCATCGTTACACTTTGAGCAGATCTTTGCATCCATCTCAAGTTAAATAAATAGTCACAGATTTTTAAATTTTAATCACACTTATAATGGTGCAGTAGACATTTCCTATTTACGTATTTATTGACTTTATCAAGTGTTTTCTTTTTTTATTATTTTATTTTTATCTGATATATAAAAACTTGTTCTGAATCAGCACATAGAACTTAAAAGTGCAGTTTTGAGGTCTTCTTTAGTTTCAATTTATCAAAATATCATTATTGAATTTTAAAACTAGTTAATTATTTTACGTATTGTTTGAATAAGAGGAGATGCTTACATTTAAACTACTTAAAAATTCTTATTTCCATAAAAAAATGTTCTCTTTACAAAAAAAAACGTAGGTAATTTAAAATGTTTAATCAAAAGCAAAAACTAATCCTTTTTGTAAAGACATTTAATACATAATTACTACGAAAGAGCCTTAAAGTAAAAATAGACAAAAATGTGTCGCGACGAACGGTTTGTCTTCATTAAAGCTCCCTATTAAAGAAACAATTACCCGTTGTAGCATATACCTTTGTAAGACCGTCTCACTCTTTACCTTACTTTGAAGATAATAATTTATAAATATTCGTCCTGAACCATTAGGCAGCATGTTTAATGAGTACAAAAGATGAGGGAACTTTGATAGATGTTCTTCTTTACAGGATTTAGTGATGAAATATATAGGAATGTGTTAATTTAAGATTCCATCAAGAACAAAAATAATTCCGAAACACATAAATAATCATTATAATACTTAGGTTTATGTATAGGGTGGTCCTTATATATAGAGTGGTCCTACATAGAAGTAAAGTAGATTTTTGACTTAATAAAATATTAATAATAAAACAGATACAGAGAAATTTAAAAATGTATTTTTCATAATAATTTTAAAGTGTTTGGAGATTTATAATAAAACGCGTTACATCTACAATACTCATACGACTATGTTTAAAGTATGTAACCCAATTACAACCTAAAGTAGCTTCCAACTCTGATCTAATTTCTCTAGAAATTTCTGTAGAAGATAAACCTTTAATATAGAAATATTTTATAATTTAACATATCTTCATTTTTCCATGCTTGACAAAATGTAAAACTGTATGACTTTAACTGTAAAATGTAAAACGTAAAACATTTGACATTCTCTCTCAAAACTTCGAAGCTAAAGTAACAAAGTATTGGGCTATTTAAATGTGTGGTAAATATGTGATACTACTGCTGCTGGTGCTGCTGCTGCTGCTGCTGCTGCTGCTGCTGCTGCTGCTGCTGCTTCTGGGCTGGGATCTTGTGGGTTTCTTGTAATGCAATACTCTGCAAAAGGTTGTGTGTTGAATAGGGGTTACCAATTTGTAGTTTGTATCTAATAGAATTCAACCAATATAAAAGAGGCAAGCACCAATCTTTTAAAATCAATTGATAAGTCAAGATGATGCACAATGGACCTAGTGAAATCTAAGTGCTTTGGAGCTATCCTAATTTTGTTTTTACTCTACATGGTTGATTTTCTTTTAATTTTAACAAAGGTTAAACATGCATAGTTGCAATACGCCTTTTGTTCTAGTAGTTGTTCATCATTTATTTTAACAATGACAAAATCCTTAATTCAACATACTTATTTGACAATTTACATATTTATTTGTCTATATATCGATGTGCATATGTCGCACCTTTAAAACAAAAGTGACATTATACAAAAAATCCGTTTCGAGTCTATTTTTTAAATTAATATTTTATTTTTACCCTTTCTAGTTAATAAATAAGATAAAGATAAAAATAGTTTCATTATTACCAAAAGAATTACTATGAGTTGTGTTTTAATAGTAAACTTTGTAGGCCAGAATAATATTAAAAGGTAAAAAATGCTCTTCTAAAATTATTTTCCCTAATTTATACTAATTTGAACATTTTACTATTTTTTTATGCCTTGATACATAAATGAGTGTCCCTCCTTGATTTTTGCTTTGGAACAAACACTAATGTCTTAAAATAATGAATATTTACGTGATTTGGTGAAAAACATGGTAATTTTGTTCTTGTTACTGTTTATGTAATTTTTCTCTACTTATAGTGGGCTGCATAAAATAAGATTAAATTTTAAGTCCAGGATAATACATTTTATCTATAGAAATTTATTATTTCTACAGTCTGAAAAAAAACGAGTACAGTAATTTAAATTGCAGAACTTAGTAAAGATTCAAGAGGTAGAAATTTTAATTATACCTCATCCTTCAATGCTTATTTGTAGTTAAAATTAAAATTTTAATACATCTGATCGGCCTAATAAAAGTATTGGTTTAGATTTAATCATGTTTCCATTGTTTTTACTGTAATAAACCTTTTCTTTTGACATATAAGTCCAGTGGGGGGGAGTAAAAATATTGATTTTATTTCTGATATAATTTAAAAACAAAACAAACAAAAAACATATAATACAAGTAAATTTAAGAAGAACAATTTTTACATGTATAATAAATATTAAACACATTTTAAGAACATTAATAATTCGAAAGCTTATAAATGAAAACATAACAAAAACAAACAAAAATATTTTCTTGGGTATAACATACTCGCATGACCAGAAAACATGAAATGAAAAAAAATATAACGTAAAATCAAGTCGTCTATTTTTATTATTTGCAAATCTATTTATAATATGGTCTACATTTACTTGAGTGCCTCTGTGTATAAACAGAAGTGACAGTCCAACTAATCTCTCCTGACCCATTGTTGAACGAAGCCGGGTTTTAAGGCGCCGCAGAGAGGAGAAGATTGACCAAAACTTGTAGGCACTGTTTTAATAAAGAAAATATATTTTCATCGCAAGACGAATATAAACCGATACCATCTGTATCGCTTTTTTTACTCTTTTCCAAATACTGAATTCAGATTTTAATTTTAAAATTATTAAATCTCTGTTTTGGTTATTTTCAAATTTGCTTATATATTCTGCAACTACTTATATCGACTGCCTAATTTCAGTATCCGTTTTTGAATTGAAAATGGCAGGAAGAAATATATTGAACTCGTAGGTATTCAAAGATTCCTCGTTAAAACGAAATTGGAGATCTTGCAATATATTATCTAACAAAGGAATATAGATGCTAAGTCTAAAATAAGATTCGTTATTTTCTGCAGATATATTGGGGCGATGCGTTTGTCTCTGAGTAACTCTTGGTTTGATAATTTCTAAATCTAATTTTTTACGAATATCTGACACTAAAGTAAAAATGGTGCTAAAATAAGTTTCGGAATTTCGACGTCTTTCTTTTAAAATGGTGATAACATTTTGTGTTAGTGTTTATCAATTGACTTCTTTTGCAATATTTTACTTAAATTTACAGTCAAAGCTAAAATATCAGACAGAGAGCATAAAGAAACTATAAAAACGGTGGAACCTATAGCATTTTTTAAACATTCTGCTTTTGAAGAAGCGTCCCGATCTTTCCAGTGGAAAATAATATCAAGAAGGTTTACAATGATTTGAATAGTACTTTGAAACTGAAGCACAGATTCGTGACGTTTAACCCATCTGGTCTCACAAAGACTTTTAAGATGACTATGGCCATCTAACTTTTGCTTAAGAAGAAAATTTCCAACCTACATATTATCACATAAGATAGATAATAAATATTTATAAATTAATATAAAATATGAAATATTTTTTTAACACAAATTTTCGTAACCGCTTTCCTACAATATTTGTCTACTTTTAAGCAACTTATTCGGTATTTGTCTAGCGAAAATACATAAGCTTCAGTTACCTTCTCGTAAACAACATACCGCAAATTACCTACCTCAACCACTGCACAAATGCTTATTAATTAATAACAAAAATATGACCCAGCAAAATTGTGAAACCCTGTAGCGACATTTCGTCCGTGAAAAGCGCATGCTTTGATACACTTAAACTTCGCGGAGCGCCGTTCGTATTTCCAGATTTTCCGCAGACACGTCGCGCGGCACGTTCCCCAATCCCGAAACAGGAATACCGGGAATTTGAATTTGAACTTTTCGGCGATAGAACAGCGGTTTTGTTTCCGGTATTTTCCCGGGAATCGGTGATTTTTCCACGTAGCTTCAAAATATAAATAATCCCTAATAAAATCTCACCGGGATGATGATAAAATTGACGTTGATTGCGATTATTCTGGTTGGCGAAACATTCGCTAGCGAGCCTAGAAGAGGAAGAGGTAATCTTTTTAATTAGTTTAGTGATTGGATGGTTATTGATTTGCGTTTTAAAGCTATAAGTGCAGAAAATGGCATTTTATTTGCATGGTAATTGAATTAAACCTGTTTTTATCAGTTTGAATAGGTAAAGGAAGGCCTAACATTCAAGGAAGGTGACTTACGAGGGCTATTCAAAATTTATTGATTATTATTATAATATGTTCAATAAAGATCATTAAGGAATTGAATTTTCCGAAACCATGCTTGGTAGAGATGAAATTTGCAACCCAAAAGAATAAGATTTCTCCCAAAATATTTATATATTGCGTTGTGAATGCTTAATTCAAAATTGACCACAATCTCTATTAGTTTAAAATTTAAACCAAAAGCTTTACATGTATTACTTAAACGGAAGAATACATTGTAATATGTTTCACTTGATTTATCAGGTAATAAACAAAAAACAACCGGTACATAATAACCGTTTTTAAAACTATGAATCGTAAACATTTGGTAAAAGAAATTTGTACAAAATTTGAATGTTCCGTCCATCAAAATACACTCTGACTAACACAAAAATGTTAAATTTGAAAAACAGGAAAACACAATTATTTTTTTTACCTTGTCTGCTACCATTAGAAATTCTTCCCCGCGATTTGTATTCAGATGTAACTCGAGAACAGTATTGAACACCTCTTCTTGGTTTTTAGGTAAGATTTTTCTTCTTGCCGCATGCATATTTTTTCTAATTTGATTGATATCTTCTGAGTTTATGTTCTCCGCAAAATTATTCGATTGCAACTCTCGAATTATTAATTTTGCTGGTTTCTCAGCTGGATCAC